TCTTCTCGAGGAGTCCATCAAATCACACTTAAATGGACACGCTTCTTTTGATTAGGGTGAGTGGTTCATTAAATTTTAAGGGTTTATCACTTCTACAAACTTGTGATTTCTCTCACCATTAACCGTTTTTTTTATCAGAGTTAGACATGGAAAACGCGAACTTGAATTCTCTCCCTCCTTCAATGCTTCATAAGATTCTCTCTAAAGTAGTAAAGACCGGTATCCGGAACTTTGGTTCTGCAAGGATTGCTTTTCCCGGGTTCAATGAAGTTGGAAGAGATGATCACTTCTATAGATCGGCCAGTCTCATTTACTTCAATGACTGGGCAAACGAGGTCAATGCTATTCGAGCTTTCAAGCTTAAATGCTACCGTTTGGGTAATTCTGAGGCCATCTACCTGAGAGGTATGTACGAGTTCTTCTTCCTCCATTTACTTGATGAAGGAAGGGAAAAAATACATCGTGCTTGTGAGAGAGGGTGCGTGTTGGCACAATTTGTAGATGCTATGCTGAACTTAGCCTTTAGCGTTGATGGTAGAGGAATTTTTCACAACTACCCTGCTTTTACTCGTCAGCATGTTGACGAGATGTTTCAAATCATCACTAGTTGAGAAATCTCAGGAAATTGGGATTACGAAAAACCTCCCATGTTTATATCTGTGGCTGAAAGGATAGATCCTAATGTGCCACATTATTACTGGTGCTCCAACCTAGACCCTCCAATGTTTGTAGTCTTCCTAGATGGATCAAGATTACGATGGAAATTTGTTTCTAGAATTGTGCAGCTTGGTACTTCTGCTATGCCATACACTCGACTGCTTGTGCCTGGCACATTGAAGATTAGTTGGGTGTTTATGACATAGAAATTTTATCTAGTTTTACTAAGTTATTATGTAAATTACTCTTTACAATATGCTCTGTTATTTCTCTAGTTTTATCTGTAAACATTATGTAATTACTTTAGTTATATCTGTAAACTAATCTTTTTTATTTGAACTTCAATAAATATATCAATAACAACACATGTGGCCGAACAATGACATAATAATAAATTGCAATCTAAATGTGGAGTACTCCTAAATGTGCGATTTAGTTCAATTTAGCATAATTTTGTAACTGAGACAGTATCTATTTGTTCAGGTTTTATTACGCTACACAGTTACACCAAAGTTTACGATTACACTAAGTCTTACAAAGGTTTCGGAAGTTATGGAGAAATAGATCTGAATTTTATGGATCGGGTCTGGATGGTCCGCGAAATGGTCCTGGTTGGGTTGTAATTATGTAAGTTTTGTTGGGTCCGTGGTCTTTTGATAAATTTGTAAATGTATTAAATTCTAAATCCAGATAGTTTCGGACAGGAGTATCTCAGATCATTTTTTTTTCCGGACAGGAGTACCTGATCGTTTAATTCTTTTTTTCTCTCATAATTCTGGAGCCAAACTTGGTGTCGGCTTGTTGTGAGTTAAGTAGGCCTTAGTAAACCTTCTTAGATGATCAGAGGGTTATTCGATGAACATGGTACCACACCCGTTCAACAAAGATTAAATTTAAAAAAGGAGTTTCATTTGGTATCTCTAAGAATGAGATTCATTAAACTAAAATATTTTCAAATAACAAAATGATCTCTCATTTAAAATCTTGTATTTTGAAGGTTTTACCAAAAAAATACGTGCGAAAGTGTATGTTATACCAAGTGTCAAGAGTGACATGTTTCACGGGCTCGAAGGATTTTATTAATTATCCGTATACAATATCACATTAGACACTCCAATAATTTTCTTTCTGGCTATATTAATTTCCTAACACACAATAAAAAATTAAAGAAGAAATCTAATTAGAATATAAAAAGCTAATGGAATCTTATCTTAGCTGACTTGTCGAGAGACAATGTATTGCTGCCAGGTTAACACACCAATATCAATTTCTCCAACCATTTGTCGTCCCAGGGTGCCATTACTCAAAGATGTACATGCATCGAAGAGTACTGTCACTCTGAAGAGAAAAGAAAATTGCATGTTATTAAAATACTGCAAACATCTAATTATAATGTTATTGAAAATTGCATGTTACTAAATACTGCATACATATGCTTATAATGTTGTCTTAAAAAAATAATTGTAGTTTGCAACGACGCCATAATCTAAACGCATTGCACAATGATGAGATAAGTTTTCGGAAATAAAACTAGCATGTATATAAGGATTATATATCCTTAAACTATGTCATAAATTAAAACCTTATAATTGCAAGATTATAAAATATTGTTATTATTCGATCTCATATTTGACACGTACGTACCTATAATATAATACCATCTCTACTATAGAGACGACTACTTCTCCTCCTCTCCTCTGGCATAATGTCCAAGTCAAAACAACGCGGATTGAATGTTTGAGACATAAAAAAAAAACTAACGCCAGTGATGCTGAGTGACGCTGAAATTTTCCGCGTCTGTTTTATTTGTTGTTAGCTACCACAGCGTCTGGAAATCAAGTGGATGGTGCTTGACCGGCGTTATTTGTTGCCGTTATGAAAGACTTAATTATTGACGCTGCCGCTCAGAGGTGACGAAACAAACAGAGCTATATATCTATATATACTATTGATTTTTACAGATATATCTATAAGTTTTAAAATCGAAAAACTAACCGATACTGGTTTTTGAAATCGGTCATCAAATTCTAACAAACGAAAATATGAGAAATCAGATCCATACCAAACCAATTAACTTTTCCCACACCAAACGAAAAAATTACAGTTACTTTCATATGTAATTTTACGAATAAGATGCACCTGTCTAAACCAATCCAAAATTTTGCATAACTGAATATAATTTTTTTTTTTTAAAATTAAATCATTCTTAAAAACTTTCAAAACCAAAAACGTCCTAACCCTTACCTGAATAATCGTAGCCGGCGGAGAAACTGAGTAACACGAATCTCAGTTTGGGACCCACACAAAGCATAAACAAGCCTAAAGAAAGAAGAAGGTCTACAACCACCCATCCAAATAAGAGCGTTCTCTAAAGGAGTGTTCCACGACGGCGCATAATAGTTCGAGCTACATCGGTGAGATAAATCAGCTCTTTTTCCAGCGTAATTTTTGAAATCTACAATGGTGTTTTGTGTTAATTCACGGAGCTTGTTATCATCGGCGGCAGCGTCGGCGGTGCCTTCGTGAGTGCGCCGTTGAGCTAAGGCTTGTTTAAGCTCAGGGACGCGTTGGGATCAGTGGCGGAAGATTTGTTCAGCGGGGTCAGTATTAACATAGCTATCTAGTCATTATTAAAAGATGTGCAAAATTAACATTTCAACATTAAACATTGGGTCAATTGTATCTAAACTAGCCATTTTTTCATTTATACTAACAAACTTAACATATAAACCAAAATTATATAAAAATCATAGGTGTCAGTTGACTACTCTCCGCCACTGGATGAAAGCCAGCACGCTGATTTCACTGTAAACGCTTCCCAAGATGAAAGCTTTTCTTTGGAAATCCCTTAGTAATGGATGTACTTTCTACGACTGATTTGATTAACGCAAGAGGAAGGACAGTAGATCAGCGATGTCAAACATGTGGAGGAGAGGCTGAATCGATAAATCATATGCTCTTCGTATGCAGCTTTGCAAGGCATGTATGGGCTCTGTCCGACATTCTGAATCCCTCTGGTGGGTTTGATGTTAGTTCTGCTCTTCGTATGCAGCTTTGCAAGGCATGTATGGGCTCTGTCCGACATTCTGAATCCCTCTGGTGGGTTTGATGTTAGTTCTGTGTTTGCCAACATTAATAATTTGCTCAATTTAAGTTCCCAAAGTCAACTGAGGGTTGAACTTAAACGGTTTTGGCCGCGGTTGTTGTGGAATCTCTGGAAAAGAAGAAACGAGGTGGTATTTGGAGGCAGATGTTGCAGAGCTATGGAGTTGATTCAAAAAGCTAATCAAGTTGCAGAGGAATGGTTTGCAGCGCAAGTTGTGGAGGAAGAATGTTCAAGAGCGGAATTGTTTAAACTCCACTGGGACCAGATTGGGTGATGTGTAATGTTGGAATGGAGTTTTTCAAAAGAAAGGGCCTGGTAAGAAGAGCGTGGGGGCTAAGTAATGAGAGAGGAGTAGTTCTCTACCATAGCAGAAGAGATTTTTCAGGAATCACCAATAGAGAAAGATGCAAAGTTTGTATTTGTGATGTGGGCTTTGGAAAGTATGAGAAGCCGAAGACAATTAAATAGAGGGGCTTTTTTCCATTGCTCAGAATGTCACGAAGTTTGGCTTGGTCAACTCTTATGTGGCGAGAGGTCATCCCTCTTGGCTATTCGAGTTCTTTTTCAATGAAAGCAGGATCCTCTGGATGAGTTCTCGTGTGTGGGAGGAGATATGTGTGAATGGAAGGGTTGACAAAATGTGGAAGAGTGTTTTCCCTGGTGTTGTCTTTGTCCTTTTGTCTCAATATCTTTGTTTTTTTGTGGGTGGAGATGAGTATGAAATAACTTGTTGTAATGTTTTATGATGGCGTTAGGGCCATCTTTAGTCAAATATCTCTCGAGGCAAAAAGAAAAAGAAAAAATCATGGTACACAGCAAAAGGAAAGGTGACCACATCAAAATAAAGAGTGAAGTTACACATTAGACAAATGAGATCTTTCTCACTGTCAAGTCCTGAAGATAATAGCCTACACATGCATGCAATTACAGAAACCAAGACACCCAAATTTACAACTCATAATAACTCCCAACCCCATCAAACATCTTGTAAAAAGAACTCCATCGAACATCTTGTAAAAAGAGATTTATGTAAAATATTAAACTCCCCATTACTTCTACTGATGAGATAGAGACATAAGAAAGAGTTGAACAAAAAAAAAGAGACAGAGAGGTGTAGTTAATTCAACTAAATTTATCCAATGGGCATAACTTTAACCCCAAGTACACGTGTCTTTAGCCTTTGACACATATACATGAATGAAACACCTGCCGAATCTCTTTAAACATTGTCTTTTCCTTAAAGTTTGGTACTGTCTTCTTTCGAGTTGATGGATGAGACTGGGAAGAGCTCAAGGGTTTTTAGTGGTGTCTTTGGACTGTTCAACATCATGTTGCAACATGGAACGAGCGATGATGATGATGAGGAGGGATATGATGGTCGTGGGCCTAAATTCATCATCATCATCCAATCTCGACCATACGATGAGTTTTGACCCGTTATTGATTTTGGCATTAACATATCTTCAGGTCCACTTTTGTTGCGATAATATTCGTTTACCAATTTGCTTTGTATGTCTACTCCAACTCCCTATATTTCCAAAATAGCAATAAAAAGTTATCCTCAACTTTGCGCAGACGTAAACTTCATCATACAACACAAAATTAACAGCTAGGGCAAATAAAAGAACCTGTTATTTGTTTTTTTTTTGTCGGCAAAAGAACTTGTTATTAAACTTATTAACACGTACATTTCTCATTCCGCCAATTTCTACGTAAATAGTCTAATAAGTAGCAAAATATATGATATTCTATAGAGCTTCGAGGCAGTTTAAAATGATCCGGTTATAAGAAAATAATGTTTATATAATATATTAATAAATCAGAGCTTTAGTCTCGTATTTTTTGTTCTTTTATATCGACATACAAGGCCAGTTTTGATCATAAACATTGCGTCCAATATAATTTTACAAGAAAAAAATGTCCAAAAAAAAAATGGGTATTCTTTTTTTTGACGAAACAAAAATGGGTGTACGATTGAGTATATAACATACCTGATGAGACGGACAAATGGGAGAAGGCTGAGGGCAGCAAGCGAAGGACATATGATCATACGGACGATGATGATTAAGATGATGCTGATGGTAAGGATTATGATAATCAATGATGTTATTAAGTGGTTGAGACAACATGGATAACTGTTTTGGTTTGCTTTGTTGGAGCTGGAGATGGTGTTGTTGTTGGTGAAGTTGCTTAGCGAGTTTCTTCCTTAGCTTCTGTCTATCTCTTGCCTTATGGTTCTGAAACCAGTAAAAGACGTTTTTGCCTTCGATACGTCCATAGAAAGCTAAGTGAGCTGTGATCTGCTGTATCTGCACAGCATTAGGCGTCCGTATACCGCTTCGGTACATCTCTTCCAGGATCATTAGTTGCTCCGGCGTCGGGCACCACCTCGTTGAAGCCACTGGACTCATTCTCCGTTCAACAATGTATTCAGGTTTTGTGTATTTGTATGAGGCTATTTATACCCGAAATGAGAAAATATGGTTCGAGCGAAAATGAGAATTTTATTTAATTTTAAAGTGTATTGGAAAGGGACGCAAGCTAGAGAAACAACGGTTTGGAAAAAAAAAAAAAAAACATAAAGAAAGAACATTGTACTGTATTGTTATCCTGTTGTAATGCATTTTACATTGATTCTGCCTCATTCCATATGCTCCAATTTATAGCGTACCTACTCTGCAAATTTGAATATAGTATATATATACAGGGAAATTTCTTTTTGGACAACTATAGTTTTCACTTTCAGGTTTCATTTGTCGGGAGTTTTCACCTTCGTATAAACAGTATACTATATTAATGATGTAAAAATACTCTATATTTCAAAATATATAATGTTTTAGATCAATATACAACCTTTTACTTCAAAAATATTCTTCAATATAGATTGGAAATTATTATACTAATTACAAAATATATTATAAACTCTTGGTTATACAATTTCTAATAAAAAATGACACTTACCAAGAAATATTAACATCTTACATATTGAAATATCAATAATCCTTCTAAACATTATACATTTTGAAACGGAGGGTGTGATAATAAATTAGTATATTAATACAACCACATTTACCTTATATAATCGATTCCCAGGCGAAAAGCGGTTAGGGTCAGAAGGCGATCGTCAAGACGATTGTCTGAACCACCTTTACACTGTAATTTCTCACCGACGAGTGTTGATTACATCACGAGATATATGTTTTCTTTGTCTGGTCTTCCTCTTCTCTTCATGATCTTCAAGGCCCAAACAATATGTTTCATCTTTTATGACAACAATCCAAAGAAAATATTGTCTCTTACAATTCTATTTGCTTTGGAGAGTCAGTCTGTTTGTGTTCAAACTATGGCCAGTCTGTTTGTGTTCATTTGTCTCTCTGCAATAGATTCTCCTAGTTATACCTCCAAACAATTTTTCTGTGTTTTGTTCTTCTCTCTAATGGAGCAGAAGTTCAGATTCTGATAGTGAATTGGTTGTTGATTACTATTTCTCCCAATTTGTTGTAGCAATCTCCAGCATGGACTATGCAGCTATTATCGATTTAAGTGGTAAGTAACTTATCTTTATTGCTTCGCTTTGGAAACAGTTACCATGGAAACCATCATTGATGAAATGTGTTAGAGTCCTAAAGTTAGAAGATAATGGACTTTTTTTGTTTTGATTTCATTGGAGAGAATTTATATATTGGATTCTTAATCAATCAAGATTTCATAAACAAAACTGGGAGTTGTCCATGGAGGTGCAACCACAACGACATTTTAGGTCTACATAATTCGACAGTTATATTGATTATTTGCTGGATATATAGTTATTCATATTAGAAAAGCAATTTATTTGTTGTTTAATGATATTTTTTAAAATCGTTGAAGATTGATGGTTCCAACTTATTACTCTTGAAAAAATCATTATATTGGATTTTCTGGCAACGGAAATCTATAAATCTAAACTAGAAGCTGGCCAATGTTATATAACAAAGAAAACTTCGAAAAATAATTTGTTCTTCTCACATGGATGATATCCAAACATAAGGATCACATGAAGATTTTCAGAAGATAGCTTCTACAGATTTTAATTTGTTTGTTATAGTATTCTCTCTTATTATTAGATTTGGATTTGATTGTACTGTTCTTATCTTAAAGTATGTAATGTTACCTTTTATATACAATTATTTTGCAAATAAATAAAAGATCATTGTTTTATGATGAGGACAAGACGCCTTCATAAAGTTCAAGTAGAAGAAACTTTAAAGAATCACTCTTGTAAAACGATAATTTCACTCTCCATGATAAATTAATAGTTAGATGTCTTTCGACATTATTCAGTTAATAATCTAGGAACTTAAGAAGAGAGAGAAAAAAAGAACAAGTACAAAAATCAAAGAGGAACAATAAAGGTGCATGGGTTCTCGAGGTGGATCATTCAATATAGGGCTTTTTTTTTTATCAAATAGGGCTTCTAAATATTGTACAATTCTCTCATACAATTAACGAAGACATTGACATATCCGTCTCTGTACGAACATGAAAACACAGATATTAATCAGTTTTCTTTACTTTTTTTCTGCTTAAAGACTAGAACAAAAAAAGAAATGATAATTCATATTAACAAATAATACTAGCTTATAGAATTCAACTAAAAATAATAGACGATAAAGATCCACAGAATGTGATCAATCATATCAAGACCTGGAGCGTATAAAAATAGAAAATATTACGTTGTAAGGCAGTTTTAAGTTTTTAATATCAGTATAAGGCAGTTATGACTATTGAGGTAGTTTTTCTTAACTATAGTGTAAATCAATCTTTACTCCTTAACTAACTACATAGAGTGTACAAACGAAGACTTATTCCCACCATTCATCTTTCTCCCATCTTTCCTTTCATTCTCTATTTTCTTAGAAAATTCACATATGATTCTTAAATTTCTTTTCTCAATTTTTTTTTATGAAATCGTTTTCTCCATTACTCGATCTATCTTTTGAGATCTGTGAAGGTACATTTCCAATGTCGGTGTACACCTTATTTAATGTACACATGTTATTTTGTGTACACTTTTTGACATATACACGTGTACATTCAAAATGAACCAATATATGTGAATAAGTTGTGTACATAAGATAGACTGGTGGTTTCTTACTAAACAAATACCAAACTACATAACAATATGCATACAAATAGTTTTGTGTGTTATTCATATCTAATGATTTGAGCTCATTTAGTTTAGTTTCCAATACATTTTATTAGCTTCGAAATTTTGAGGATAAAAATGAAAGCAATAAAAACAAGGATCATTGTGCAATTATGAAGAAGTACTGTAATGAGTAATCAAAGAGTTTGTTGGTTATTTTGTATACACTTTGTGACATGTACACGTGTACTTAAAAAATGAACCAATATATGTGAAGAAGTTGTACACAATTAGGTGGATTGATGGTAGCTTACTAAAAAACAAAATACATAATAAAATAGATCAAGTCAAACTGAATATGGTGTACATGTAAATAGGTGTACACATACGTTGTGCATTTTGTAAAACCTTTGTAATATAAAACCACAATTTTGATGTGCAACAAGCATATTTCGAACATATGTGTACATAAAAGATATATAATATTATACATAACCACGATCGTACACATGTACATAACCACGAATGTACACTTGTGTACACGACCACGATTGTACACATTTACACACATGTACATAATTAAATAGATCAAGTCAAACTGAATATGGTGTACATGTAAATAGGTGTACACATGGGTTGTGCATTTTATAAAACCTTTGTAATATAAAATCACAATTTTGATGTGCAACAAGCATATTTCAAACATATGTGTACATAAAAGATATATAATATTATACATAACCATGATCGTACACATGTACATAACCACGAATGTACACATGTGTACACGACCACAATTATACACATTGACACACATGTACATATGTACGTAGTCATTATGTACTCATGTACATGAATGACAAACATAAACAAACACAAAACATAATTGTTTATTTGACAATATGAGGCAAAAATGAAAGCAAACAAAAGATAAATGACCAATCTGTAGTTAAAAAAGGGGTTGAAATGAACAATCAAGAATTTAGAGAACTAATTCGAGTAGACATCTGCACAATTACAAAGAATTAGGGTCAAAACGCAATTATGTGAATCATAAAGGACCAAATGAGCAAAAAACGTAACAATAGCCATTGATGCTCTCGAGCTTGTTCTGATGGAGTCGCGACGGCGAGATGTGAGGCCATGACTTCGAAAAATACTTTAAGGACTATGTGGTGGTGCGAGTTTGTTGGTGCGGAGGTTGGCGATGGTTGAGATTCATGGTAGAGCTTTATTGAAATGGAAGAACTTGGTGTAAGAGTTGCCCAAAAATTGTGACAAATTTAGGGTTCTAAGGGTAATAGATCTAAGTATTTTGCTCTTGAAATCTTTGTGTCTTTTTTTTTCTTTTTTGGGAAGACTGAGAAAAAAAAAAGAAAAATTAATTTTGGAATTGAAAAATCAAAACAACGATGGAAGAAGAGAAAGAAGAAGAAGGTAAGGAATAGAATAATGTTTTCTTTTATTAAGTTATGTTAAACAAAAGAAGTAACTGATTTAGTTTGAATGTAAAGAAAGAGAGTGGATTAGTTTGGAAAAACTACCTTAGTAGTCATAACTGTCCTATAATGAAATAAAAAACTTAAAACTGCCCTACAATGTAAAAAACTCATAAAAATATGTGTATATGTGTGACATATATTCATGGATGTAGAGAGAGGATGGAATGAGAAACTTAAATGATTATGTCATAATTACTCTATTATGATTCACTCCTCTCAACAGAATGACGTTGACACGTCATATTAAAAGAAAGTGGATACATTTTCTCCAATCTTTACATAGACAGATAAGTAGGTAAATTTGTACAACCATGTGAAACATAAAAGTTATCTGTACTCAGTAGCTACATACATATGCACTAATTTGCTCTCATCACAATCAAAATGAAAACAAACTAATTATTGTTAATCACACACTTTTTATATTTTGTATGCCTTGACCTGTGCTTTTCCAACTTTTATAAACTAAAACATAGAAATTAATGTACTTCAAATATCACATCACATCACGCATGGAATGGTCTGTTTAGAATCTCCAGAAATTGAGCCTTTTGACTTTATAACGTCTGAATGCAAAAACATTGCATGCATTGGCATTCGAACCTATTAGTTGTCATAGGCTCTAAAGCCTTCGCTCTCTCTGTCCACTGTCAACATTCTTGACTCTGGATACACATTTTTCTTAGGGGCAAAGGATATTTATGGACTCATTTAGAAATACGGAGTTCATTTAGAAATATCTTGGGGGCAAAGGATATTAATGTACTCATTTATCTCGTTTTTG